TTGAAGATGTTCACTGTAACGATGGTAGGATTCCCATGGAATCACCCTCTACTGTACGTGAACAAACAGAAAGAAAAAAAAAGAAATGTAATATCTAATTGATGTCTTCTTTATTAAAAAACAAATCGAATTAATAAGAAAGAAGAATAGTGAGAAATATGATTTGCATTTTTTTCTAATCATCAAATCAATCAATGATCATTCAAATAAATGAATTGTTTTCAAGACTTAGTGATGTAGAAAAATAATGATTGCAGAACTTACTCGGTTTCTTTTTTCAAAGAGGAATGATAAAATCTAAGAGAAAAAATAATTCAATTAATACATTCAACTATTCTTCTTTGCTAAAACATCTGATCTACACTGTTGAAAACTACTAATCTATAGGTTAAAAAAGTAAAAGAACTCCGAATTTTATGGCTTTGTTGAAAGTCATATGCACGATCTTCCTTTTCATAATAGATTATAACGTAAAAACCTTTATAATTGAAGATAAACAACACTATTATGTGAATTTTTTGTAAATCAATGAAATTTTTCTTGTTGACAATGAAGTGCAGTTTTTAAAGTACTTAAAGTCAATTTTTTATTACCTTTCATGCAAATTAAGTGTCATCAAATTCAACTGATGAAAGGGTCAATACGATACGAAAACATCATAATCCCATTTATTGTAACCAGTAGATTTCGTTAATCCACACCAATATTTTTATTTTTTCTATTTGATAACTGTCTTATTTATTCAGTGGCGTAATAAAATGAATGAATGGCTTGAGATAAGAGAATCTTACCAGTGTTAGAACATTTAAAACTTGTGTCTCAACTTCGAACAACTAAGAGAATATATTTCTATTCTTCCTATATCGTTAGTGTTATAACGACGTGTATTTTGAATTGTAGATAAGTATAAGAGAGAGGCGATATTTCCTATTAAATGTAAATAAAATATGATGAATCAACATGGATAATATTGTGAATGAAGATGAAAGTAACTCAATGCAATCTATTTTAATCGATCGTAGATATGATAATTTGAGAAATACGTATAAAAGTGTAAGATTTGTCCTTTTCTCTCAACAATTGGTATTTTTATATCTCATCATATCTACTATTGCTACTTATTTTCTCATTTGTTATATCTTTATTTACTAGGGAAATTGTGATCTTCAACCTGCTATAACTAATTTAATGATATCTTACATTCATTTGAGTATTGGTATATTAGATGTGTCATTTTCAATTTTGGTTATTGCTGATTTTGATGCATCTCATGGAAAAAATTCAATAACAGCTATGAAAGCATGTACTAAATATCTTCAACAAATCAATACACTTGTTACATCACTACTTGTAGTTCATAATGATCTTCCAACAAATGATTGGACAAAACTTTTTCACCTTCTTGCAGAAAATAAATCATATCAAGACGTGATTAATGTTTATTCGTTATATGAATGATACCTTCCAGTGAAGCCTTTTGATGATCAAAGAATTACTTCAATGCACTGTATTAATATGCTCAAACATTTTTCAATGAACAAGAACATCGAATTTTACAGTTCCTATATACCTTCGTTCATGATTTGGTAAAAATATTCACAAAAGTATTTCAACGTACTATGAAACCCTTGGTTAAGCAAGTATTAGAAATGAATCAACATTTGAAAGAAGAAATCGATGAATTTTTCAATTTGTTTGATATTGAAAACAATATAACAGATTGTTAAATAAAATCTTTTATTTTTCACGTTTCGTAATTAATTTTGTTTTTAACTGCCTAAGTTTCTTTCGATACAGAAAAAATTAACAAAGGAACTTATTCAAACCAAACTGATTCAGATTATAATCTTAAATAGAGAAAACGAAGAATACGGCATTAAACTGTTTCACGATTATTTATATTGATTGTAGATGAACTATTCTGATAATACGATCGCATCAAATAAATTTTAGAGAATAAATTAGAAAAGATCTTCTCATAACTTAAAAAATTATACTGATCAGCTAGCCATGAAGGATTCGAAATAATTAGGGTTTTGACCCTTACGACTAAATCGATTAAATACAAGCGAACACAAGAATTGCTCAAAAAACTACTTGATCATCGTGATCACGCTCAATCGCTTTTTAATCTCAGTTTAGTCATTGACGGTGGGCAATACTGCCAATATGCATCAACATAATTTATTTCTTGACTATGCCAGATGATTGTTGTTATTTCATGAACTTAACTTGTTCTCTGAACATTAAGAACTAATGTTATTCGAAGAATTTCTTCGCCGAATTTCTAATAAACACGAAGGTGTCATGTAATATTCTGGTAAAGATCAGAATTAGAAACGTAGACACCTGAAAACGCAAGGACTCTTGGCAGCTCTTCGTATTCTACTAAATAAAAATGACAATTGAAGGTTTATATTATGATAAACAAGGATATTGAATATGATCTTGAGTAAATACCATCGATATGTGTTAGTGATCAATGCACTTGTTTTCTAAGAGTGTAATGATAGCAAGGACAGAAGGACTGCTTAGATATGATTCATTTAATCATAAAAAATTTATAATTTGTAACCATTCAATTCAAGTACTTTTATCAAGATACTTGTCCAAACAGAGCAACATATGTGACAAACATGACAATAGAAACAATATTTGTGTATTTACCTTTTTTTCATTGGTATCGATCCGATATTTTTTGTTACTCAAACTAATTCTTGATATAGGCACTTGAATTACAACATGGTGACACCTGTCAATTTTTTAGGTATCAATCAATCATGATCCTTATGTTCGTCCAAGTTATAGTTCTATAACAGCCTATGCACATAAATGAAAAAATAATAATTTACAACGAGCATTCAGAATGATTGCAGTACTTCAATATGTCTTTCATCGGACTAAATACGTTTTTCTTCTTCGTTCTCAAGAATTTTTTTCACATTTCTTTTATTTACATTAAGATGATGGCAATTCTGGCATCATGTGAAAGGAGATCACTGTTGCACAGGATCTCTTCCCATAACGATGCGAAGCCTTTTATAAATGAGATTTTGATGAAACATGCAAGAAACCCTGCTGTAGATTTTGATTATGCGCAAGAAGATTTTTCGCGCTCACTGCCACTGTCAATCCTCATTCTTATTCTCAGCCATACGTATAGCCTACATCATCTCGGATATTAAAAACCTATATAGTAGAAATTTTTATTCTAGAATATGGAATCTTTTCGTTTTCTTATTATGGTTTTATTCATTTTTGATAAATTTTCTTGTCACCACTAGCTTTTAAAGCTTTCAATTCGTTTGTTTGTTTTGGTTCCTTCAACAGGCTTTAATAATACTGAAGTAGGAGCCTCGTGTGTCTAATAGCAATGTGAGAGAAACTTTGTGATGTAACGATAATATATTCTTCTAGCATCCAAAACTTCTGACAAAATGAGATTTCGATCATCATCCGACTCCATACAACATATGAAAATGCTGAAAGAACTACAAAAATCGAGCAACAATCATGCGTCAATTCCTCTCGAAAAATGGATTATCAATCGAAAACCTCGGACAAAATGTTTTCTAGTCACTCAACTTCTCAAACTTATTTCGGCCATACTAGTCCCGTTGATAATTGGTGCATTTACAGTAATACAAACACTACATGATTCGAGAAATTCTCAATTAACTCGTGATGCTGAATATCAACGTCGCATGGATGATAAGTTGAACATCGATATGGAACGACGACGTGATGATGCACATGCCATTGAGCTTCGCATGCAACAAATTTATGACAAATTTTTGACAGACACTCAAGAGACTCTTCGAATATCAAATGAAGACTTAACAGAATCTGATTTGATATTTTTAAGGGCAAGAACATTGACTGCAGCGGAACAGATGGATCCAAAACGAAAAATGTATCTCATCCAATTATTATATGAGAGCCGCTTGTTATATACAAACGAGTATGTTGGGAACACGAACTATCACTCTGTCGATTTAGATGGTCTGGATTTATCCAACTGTGAATTCGGTCGTTCAGACGAACGTGATTCAATGAGAATGATGAATCTTAATGGACTTCGTATAGCGCATACTCGTTTACGAAATTCATCATTTAAAAATGTGAATTTAACTGGTTCAACATTCGAAAATTGTGAGTTGACAGAGACAAATTTCACAAATGTTATTCTTATTGATGTAAATTTCAACAATGCCATTGTTTATCGTTCGAATTTCATCGATGTTCAATTCAAAACGAAACAAATTTACGGAGGCATGTTTCGAGATGCAGTGTTTATTGGAAGCCAAATTTCGACAGGAAATAAAATATGGTACAATTGTGATTTCAGTAGCTCAACATTCATTAATACACGATTTCCAGATTTTCAAATAGAAAATTCAATTTTTGATCGAGCAAGTTTTGTTAACGTTAGTTTTTTCAATCAATTGCTCGTGTCAAATGTTCGAATGAGAAATGCGTCTTTTCAAGGCGTTACGTCAACCTCAGTCCGTTACAGTATCATCATCGATCACCAGTCCGACTTGAGTAGTACACTGTTTCATCACGTGTTATTGAGAAACATCCTTTTGGATAATATCAAAATGGAGCGGTGTGATATTTTCAACGTAACTGTTCAAAAAACAGCTAAATTTAATCGTGTAAATATGTACAAATCAAATGTTGACTTGATTTCGTATCAGAATCAAGTATTTGTAATCAATTCAATTTTACCCAATGGCTCATTCGTGACATCATTTCGATTCGGAATGAATTTGTTAAAGAATGGTGATGCTGAAGAAGAATGTAATGGAAGCCATTTTAATCCAATGAAGATACCAGGATGGGAACAGCGAGGCGTTCTCCAATGGCTTTATAATATGACTGGAAGCAAAATTATCGGTGATAATCACGGTGGTCAGTGTTTGTTTTTCGGTGGAAAACGTTACACATCCTTATTTGACAATGCCATTGAACAAATTATAGATGTTTCTCACTTGACACGATTATTTGATAACTATCAAACGAAATTCACTGTTCATGCAGATTTAGGTGGCATTGATGACATCGAAGATACAGCGCGTATCGATATTCAGTTCAAAAGTGATAGTTCTTATATCGGTAATGTTTACCTTGGTAAGTTCAATATTTATATTTTGTTTAAATGCGTTATCTATCAAATATATTCTGTCCGGTACTTGATAGATCCAGTCACCAACAACGAGCGCAAGAACAAAACATCAATGATCAAGAAATCGATCGATGGAACAATTCCCCAAGGAACTACATCTATTCATTTCTATGTTAGATTCAAGCAAAAAGAGTTTCATGATACGAAATTCGTTATGGGAATGGCTGATAATTTGCAATTCATCATTGAACAACCAAATGAAAATTATAAACGAATAGACAGTCATTATTTTTTGTCTGAGATTCATCTATAATTGTTCTCTTCCATGAATATTTAAAACAAGATGGTATTCAGACAGTGATATTTCAAATAAATCAACATTCTCTCTTCAATTTGTGCCGAATAGAAATTGCCATTGGTGCTCATTGTTCAAACACCGTGTATGGTTGATCACCTTTTCACAGATCATTGAAGGATAACATAGTTTCTTGTCATATTTATCTGACAGTCAACGACATAAAATGACCTATTTGACAAACACTTGTCATTGTTATGATTTTTGCCATTGATGAGCGACCATATTAGAAATCAGTGGAACCGGAACCAGCTTCGAAAAATATTGATCTGTGAAAAAAACGAATTTCTATCTTTGTATCTATAGACTAGAACTCAATCAGTAAATCAGAACTTACAGTTATAGACTAAGTTGGTGCAATGCAAGCCAAGGTAGCCAACACTCAAAGAGGAACTCATATCCGCACTCATCAAAACTAATTGAACGGCTTTTTTTTAAAAAGTGCTCTCTGTTTCGATCAAGGTCAAGATTGTGAGTCAAAAATCAAGCATTTAGCTGCTAATCGGAGAGTGTTTATGTGGTGTAGATTCAGTCCGTTTCTACACCCACAGCTCCATCCTAAAAAAAACAACCTTGGGCACTATTAAATGCCATTCATTGTTGAAAATTTTCATCACGAAGAAATAATGCACATCCCACATAGTTTTGATTCTGATCGCGTACTTTCCATTATAGATCTTTCTAATAACTTTTGTTCGTTAGTTAATTTGATGTCTTCGACCATGACAAACTGATATCGACAACTGTCGATTTACTGTGGTCATTCTCAATCAATGTTCTGTACTCTATCTTCTTATTAGAATCACGCAAAATAATAAATTATCTCCTATCAGTATTTACACGATCAAATTATTGGTTAACGAACTGATTTTCTGTCCATCGACTACTGTTAATAATGCATTATCATGAAATATTTTATTCGAGCTCGTTTCATCAATCGATCCTTTTTCTTATTGCTTTTGGTAGCTCAACAATGAATGAAAATAGTCCAACATGTGACAACGTTGTAGAAAATTTCTGAAAAAATAAATTCTAAGCACAAAGTAGAACTCTATATGACTTCAAACCTTATTGTATTATCTGCAATACTTTAAACTATTTTTTTCTTTTGTTTAACATGTAAACTACCACTAAGTTCGTACAAAAATGAAAACTTTCAACATACTATTGAAACCCAACGTCTAATAAAAAGCTTTGTTTTATTTATAGAACAAACCAAACTGATGTTAATCAACATGAGAAACATGAAAATATCAGTGCTTTTATTATGATCTGATATGAGTCAATATTAAAAGAAGAGTCTTCTTATTCATCTAAACGACATTGATTTCATATTGTTTTCATTGCCATAAAATTGTTATATATTAAAACGGATGAGTTACTCAACGTACTAAAGATTTTGAGATAAAACATGCTAGTATATACTAATCGGTGTAACTTTATTATTGTATGTATGTTAGTGAATTCTACTACAAAAAAAAGAAACAATTGAATATAAGTACTTTTCTTATCTGTTTTTTCTCAAAAAATTGAATAAACTTATTTGCAAAATATTAATAAAGAAAGAGCATAGAAGACGAAGTTGAAGATATAACAAACGATACATTGATCGCAATTCATCTCTATTCATGGAATAACTTTCATAATTGTTCGATCAATAATTTTTTTCTCTAAAATTATGAAACATCAAATGAACTTAGGATCACAATTAGGGATCAACTTGCAAAAGTCGTGATCATATTTATAGCTAATACAGCACAAACGTTCCGTCCTTTATAATATTCTGATCACTAACTATTATGTCACTTATTTGATAGATAAAAGATAGAAAAAAGAAGGGAAAAAACAAACAAAACCAACGCTAATTGAATGTCTAATCATAAAGGAGACAAACAAAAAAACTACTGATTGCATTTTTTTCTTTCTTTCACACATTTTTTTCCTCTGTAATTATCTTGCGATATATGATCAAATGACAATAATTCATACAAATTGTACGGAAATACAAAAGGATGAAAAATGTTCTATCTCTTCTATGTTCATGTGGATGAACCAATTTCAAAGAGAGTAAGCTCCTGTCTATACTAATATTAATCACAAAAATTGAGTTGTACGCTTAAGAAGCCATATTTTATTGGCAATCTATATAAAGAGACATATTTCTCTTGTATTCTTTGTGTTTTATTGGCGATGTGTAGAAATATTTGATTAGAAAAGTATTTGAATAATGTTCAAACGTTTAGATTATGTCTATCGTAAGCGATGAGAACTAGAAAAAGCATTCGGCAAAAAAGAACAGCGTTTTGTCTGAAAAGTTATTGTTCCATTAGGTCTTCGGAGCTGGTTCATAAGTTACTCACATGACGGTATTCTGTATGAACACTGTTGATCATCTATAATTTACTATAAAATCCTATCTCAATATTTTGTCTGTTTGATATAAAATTACAAGATTTTGCTCGAAAAATAATCCGTAAACATCCGTAAATATTTGATGAAGTACAAGAGGCATTATTAAATTCATCATTTATTAATATGACTACTGAAATGATGCTCAAAATATGTGGATTACTCTCAGGATGTGATGTAGGAAATGTTTTATTAGTTTGTTGATAGTTTAAAATGATGGTTGTTGATCAAGATACTATATAGAAAACAAGATGCAATAGTAAGTCAGATTTACCTTGTTTATTGAAATTCATTTAAATGTGAAAAATAGTATCAAAAAAATTCAATTCAAAATCATATAAACAAATTTATATTGATTGAATTTTTGAAAAATATCTTCAAAATCAAGAATTAGAAAGACTTGAGAGAAAATATCGAAAAATGAATATAGGTTGTGGATTGAAATATTCACCTTCTCGGCATCTTGTCCAATCAAAAAACAAAATTCATCATTCGATATTTAAGTTAAGTTTGATTCATTCTAACTTTAATTATCTGCTATAGGACTATTCAATTATCAGTTGATGTTGACAGAACTGCTCACGTATTGATATTAATATTAGAAACAGCTTGAAGATTTCAACAGATATGACGTTAATCAGTGATATTACAACAAATGATTAGATGATATTATCCATTGATGTAATTAAAAGTTTTATATCCTAAAAAAGTTCTGATGCCAACGATAGATATTGAGATAGTTTGGCAAACACAACAGATTTTCAATTTTCATGATATTCTCTAAATGATTTTCAAAAACCCTTTTTCATTTACAAAAGCTGATATTATTCTTGATGCAAATTGGATAAACCTATGAAAACATTTTATGAAGTATATCTTTTGAAACAAGTACATGGATTTTTGGAATTTTGATCCATTTAAACTCATCAGTAATGAAACGATTAAAAAATCTGATGAAAGATTTTTTATATTAAGATCGATATTATATGGTATTGTCATATGCAAAAACCTTTAAAATATGCTAATGATTGTAATCGTCTTATTGGTTATCTGATTGATTATTATTCATGACCATCAAACAATCTTGTTAAGATCGTAATCGACATTGGGAAAAAGAATTTCAGAATGATATATGAATAGATCATATTAAATATAATTGAAATAATCAACTTGAAGATTGGTTCAATAAATGCTTATAAATAGAGCTGGTTTTTATTTTCTAATTAATTAATTTTTTATTCATAAATTTAAATAAATATTTTATCGAAATTTAAAATCTAGAAATTAATTATTGATAGTGTTTTTTTGTATCCGATCGACAAAAATACAAACTATTGTCAAATGATGTAATTGCGTTTTGAGGTCTAAAAAATTCGCTAGATTATTTAAAAGGTAACATTCAATAAGTTATAGAAAAACAATGCATGGTGAATCAAATTTATCTTTATAATTTCCTTCAAACTGATAAATCTAGTGAAAAATGTCTTAATGATAGGATGTGGTTCTTGTTTCACACCCATACCCTCTCGATATGAACTTAACAAGGAAATAATGAATCTTATGTATCAGTTTTTTTACAGTTTTATGCACTTTTTGGGATAGGATATAATCATTATTTTATGAGATTGTACAGCAAGTTGATACATTTGATGGTGATTGTTGTCCGCTCAATGCAATGTGTAGACTTTGTGTAATTTCTTGATTGATTGGCTCTATTTTATTAAGAATAACATTTCCATTTGAATCAACAGACCATTCTTCATTAACCAAAATAGTTGGGTTTTCATCTGTTAAGTGTCCATTTTCATTCAAACTTAAACTTTTATAAGTTAAATATAAGCTTGTATCACCTGATTGCTTCGGACGTACAAATTTCATTGTAACAAATCCATTAAAACCTAATGCCATATCTGTCCAAGCATGATCACCTTCGACATTAAATAATCGATCATCATAAAATAATAGTTTTGTTTCACGAGCTTTGACCGGAAGTTCTGTTGCCAATGTCGGAAAACCAGAATTGCCAATACATCGACCATAGAACGTTAATTTTTTACCTGAATTTATCACTGGTTCAATCGTTTGTTTTTCATAAAAACTCAACCGATGTTCATGACCCCATAAATAGAGAACTGTCTTTCCCTCTGATAATAATGATGCGATTTGATCAGGAAAATCTAAATATAGGATAAGAAATTTTATTATTAACGTAAAATGTTCATCTTCGTATGTTGTGAACAACATATAACAAGTCTAAAATTGCTGTAATGATCTTTCCTTATACCAATAACTAATTTCTTAGCACAACACTTTATCCGATGAAACAAAATAAACTAAACTTGTGTTGAAATATAATGTAGAAAACGATGATTTCGAATGGATAAACCAGCGTCTACATGATCGAACAAATGAATTTGGAAATTACTTAGATTACTAACTTAGAAGTTACTAGTAGATGAAAATTAAAGTTTCATTTTTAATTCATCTAAATATGTGGTGAAAACAACTCAATAGACACTGAATGTTAACCTGTATTTGGTTTTTCATTCCAAGCACTAATAACTTGATGATGTGAGAAAAATAATAAACCACGTTTATCAGTCATTTGTGGATTAAGACCAACAACTGTTTTTAACCAATCGATTAATTCTGGTAGTAATTTAATTGAATGATTATCAATAGTTAATAATGAATATGAATCGTAACCAGTATCAAGTGCAATTATCCTCCATTGATCATTTTCTAATACCCAATAGGAAGTTTTCTATGCTTGTGTAGGACATGTTAAATCTTCTGGATTGAATAAACCAACGTTTGGTAAAAAGTAATCCCAATAACCAAACCCACGACTATACAATTCATGATTTCCAGGAATTGTAAAGCTACCATTTTGTCCGATAGGCCATCGAACACCTCGATCTGCCCAATGTGGTTTTACTCCAAGACAGCAATGTTCAATTTCTGTTGGTAAACCAACATAATAAATATCACCTAAATGAATTGAATAATGTGGTAAATTATGTGTTGCTTTTTGTTGTTGAAAAGTTAAATCTAAACCATTCATCATTGCACTAGCAACAAGTGCAGACTCCATTGTCCCAGCACCCCTTTAGAAAAAAAATCAATGAATAAACATTATAGAATAAGAACCAATCGACATACCAATCTGCAACTACAGCGATATTGACTGTATCATCTTGATCTCCATGCATTCGATATAAACCTGTTTCCCATTCATTCCATTGTTTTTCATCAGATATTGTTTGTTGTTGTTGTTGTTGTATTGGATATGTTATAAATTGATGTCTTTCACCAAAATGACTTTGTAAATATTCAGTTAAATAGATCAATTCACCATGTAATGTATCAAATAATAAATCTAAACTTTCATTTGGATATTTAAGTTGCTCACTAGATGCTACTCGTTGACCATTTTCAATTGGAAGACGACGAATTAAATCTTTACGATGTATATTTATGGTTGCAATATTTGGTTGAATACGTTTTGTTTCATGAAATTTTAATTTAATATTATTATTAATAACTAATAGAAATGATTCTTTTGAAACAAATCTTGAAAATTGTTGATTTTCATCTAATATTTTTCCATCTAATTCAAAATGAGCATCATTTTCCTGTTTATCACCATCTGTAGTAATTACTGATATTGATGAATGTTTCGAAGCTAGATTAATAAAATCTTTGTCTGATAAAATTTCTTTGAGTGTTGCATTTGATGAAAATGTAAATAAAGTTGGACGTGAATGTCGAGAGAATTTATTCGAAGTATTCTTAGATGCTTTTGGTGCTGACGATAATAATAATAATGATATTTGTGAATTGGATATATGATATTCAATTGATTCGGATTTTTCTTGTGGACGAGGACAGCGTGATCGAATCATTACTTCTACAAAATAGGAAAAAAAGATATTACTTCTTCATTGATTTCGTTTTTTTCAAAGAAGAAAATCATATCTATCCAATTTATCTAATTGAAATCGAGTTTACTCTTCACAGTAAAGAATTTATATTAAAAAAAAAAATATATGACTGAAATTTATTTCAAATAAAAACTTTGCAGAATTCAATGAACTCAAAATAAAATTACATAAAATAGAGTCGAGTGTTCTCTGAAATATATCTCATTAGATTTTAGATTATCGTAGTGTTTCGTTATGAAGAAACATTTGCACGAAAGAAAAAAAATAATAAGATTTACTCTCTACGAACTTTTATGTGACTCAAACAGTTTCTCAACTGAAAACTAGATATTTTTCAATCGTGTACCATTGAATCTTGAGGATAAAATGGTGAAGTTTATAATCACAAAATAGTCAGTTCTTGGAAGTCTCATAAAAGTTCATCTCGTAAGAAAGACAAAGAATATCAGTTCTCTGTCTATCAAATCTACTACTATTTGTGTAGTATTTGTTATGCTTTTGTCTCTATATTCGTTCTATCAGAACAGCCTGTCACTGGTTTGTTCTTCGTGATCAGGACGCACTAAAATATGTCACTCTTTTTCTTTCTTATGAAGACTCTTTCGTCTAACTTACATTTAACTTAAGGCCGCATCTTAGGATTTAGTCGGACGCCAGCATTTTCGCTTCAAACTTGATTGTTACAGTCAGTGTGAACGTCTTATTCCTACTATGTTTCCTTGATATCTTAGGGCTTTTCCGATTTACGCATAAATACGCGTACAAATTCGAAGGAAAGAGCTGAAGATTATGCAGAATGTACAACATTGTTGGTGAATTCATTCTTCTATCGGTTCGTCGAACTGAAGACGGCCACTTTCTTCGCCATCGTATCCATCATTTCCACTGTAAGACAATGATTTCAGCAGAAATTCTTGATAAAATCGTTCGTGAGCTCATAGAACAGTAAGAGGGTAGTTGCGAACAAGATTTTCTGCATGATATTATTTCTACTGGTACATTTGTTCGTGTTTGAAGTCGACGATGAGTTCACATTTGATTTGAAGGTTGATTTAATCTGTGGATCAGTCATAAAAAGATTCAAGAATGAAAATCAATGATTAGACCTGCTGCCTCAACTAATATCATCAAAAACTCTTCCGTAAAGTTATCCATCTGGATGTTGCTGCAATTCTCGTTGATGTTGTGCATATTACTATGGACAATTAACGACTTTGTCGCTTGCAGTAGAATAGTGAGTTTGACGGACAGCCATATTGGTGGCATTAAAAATTGAGGACGGAGAAGCTGCACAAATAGTGATACATTTAAGCAGAAGCATTTCTCACGAGTTCAACAAATTCTTGATGTATATCTCTGCAGTCCATCATGATAGGAAATAGATAAATAATTGAAGAAGAAAATATCAAACAATGTTATTTTTTCAAATAGATTACTGACTTCACCGTCTTAAGCTATACTGTTTATGTTTATGTTTCTATATCGTCGCCTCAAATTTCTTCATATTCTGCTTTAAAAAAATGAATGTCAGAAAATGAAAAAATACGTATTATATTATTGACAGTGAAATACATGAAAACAGTCATTTTATTCAGATACTCATCATCGTATACTTGCAATTAAACTAACAAAGAACGAGTCTGACGTTTTGTGTGCTTGAAAAATCTGTGTGCAGTAGTAACTTTCGCTTCTCCATAAGTTGTGTGTACATGGGTTTTGTAGATGCTCGAACTTTGAACAAACGCACCTTTTTCATAGTTCGAGCATCTAGAAGATCGGTGTAAAAGTGAACGGTTAGGACTCTATAACTTATCGCACTGCATTGTGGGTTAAACTGTGCATGTTAGTATAATCGAAGAGCATCTCATTTGATTATCGTTTCGAACCAGGTCGCTTATCGAATGCAGATTTTTCTTCATAAAGTTGATTAAAGGTGATGATGACACTGAGTTATCCGAGGTGGATAGAGCAATAATTAAAATTCTACTGTCCATCTCAATCACTGATTATGAAAGGCAGCAGGCACAAACAACCAACGCTATATAGAACGATGCAAAAGCGAACTCTTCCTGTAATTAGTTCTTTTTCTTTTTCCTTGGAGACTGACTCATACATGTGTGTAGCATTGTAGAAAACAGCAATATGAAATATGTTGGCAAGAACGTAAGATGTTGAATGCTTTACGTCTCACACACAACCAGAACAAGAAAACAACATATACAACAAAGAGTAATTACAATCAGCCTGTATTTAACGCGTTTATAGTTGATCTTCGACCATTATCTTTTTTTCCTGCACTCAATACATTAATATTCTATTCAATTTTATTTTATTTTTTATCTTTTTCCAAAAGGAACCTTAACTTGCATTTAGTTTTAGAGTCGAACATCAGCTTTATCTTAGGTCAAGATAAATTAGAACACTGGTGCAAAACCCCTTTCACATAATTAAACAAAGTGTTGTTCAGATCAGTGATTGAATATGAAATGCTCTTGTTGCAGTTTTCTTTATCCTACAAACGCAGATCACTTTTGATACGAAATGAATATGTGAAATATGATCGAACTATTATTATTGTATACAAGAACATTGTAGGAGCATCACTTTCACTGCAAGAGACTACATTCTATAATGATTTATGCGTATATGAAAAAACACATGTCAAGATTTGTGTTTCTGTCTATACAGGAGACGAATGGCAGCAAAACAAGACTTCCGATTTTTGGTTTCTTCTTGATTTTTCAATATTTTCGATATTTTCTACTCGAATTTTAGGGTCTAAGAACTAAAAGAAAATTCAAAAATTTAAAATCTATTTTTTTCTAATGGTAAGGGCTATTTATGTGGTGAGTTCGTCAGTGGGAGACGAAACGGGAGGAGCAAGTTCGTTACACTCTTCTTCAGCACTTATTAATGATCAAGTTTCACAAAAAGAAAATATACAGGCAATCTCTATGTATTTTCATGAGATAGAGCCTTATGTTGCATTGACCTTGTGCTTATCGATGAGTCAAAATCAACTATAGAAAAAAAATATAAGATGTATCAAGACACAAAGCATCTGGAAAAACAAACCTGACGCCAATGATTCTTGTTTTTCTTTTGCTTTCTGCTCAAGTTACCTTAGAAATGTTGCAATGAAGAACGAGAGAAAAAATTGAGATATGTTGACAACAGAGGCAAGAAATTGTTGTTGTCAAGCATATTACACCCTGTTAGTTGAAAAGGTGGAGAAAAAAAAAGAATTAATTGAAAGAAAAACAAGAATAAGATCGAACTTTTCCTTACGACATACATGTCGAAGCATGCAGTATTTTATTTCACTGAACGTTTTGATAGAGTGGACTCAAGTGAAGAAGAACGGTAAAAATCTTATTCGGAATCATTAATGGAAGGCATCTATTTAAGTGCTAAGTGGAACTTGTGTATGCTCAGTAAATAAGTTAGATGTTCAATAAATTTATTAGATGATAGATTAAATTAATATTTCTCTATAATTAACATTTTTGCCACGTTTAATAATTAATATACAAGTAAAATATTTAATTATTAAGTGAATAAATTGGATCTTATAATTAAGAAAACATATTAGATAAATAAAAAAATTGTTAATAAGTAAATTGGATTAAGACAAGATAAGATAACGATTGTCAGTTGGTGATGTAGCTTGCACATTTTTTCTCTTGCCTCCTGTTAATACTTATGTGGCACTATAATACAAGTAGATTTCATCTTTATTTTCTTTCGTTATGATATCGTGCATGAATACACATACACTATCTTCAAGCATGGTCAAGTACATGTTTTTTTTATCTTTCTCCTTCTCTAGCGATTATATATGATCTCTGTTGTTTTTGGGAGAGTTCTTCCCTCTGCATATATCATTTTCTAGTGAGTTCTTCTCTTATTATTCTTTGGTATATATACATTAGTGATGCATTTTATTTTGCAAAATCCTCAAAGTTAGTATGACAATTATCATATCTAAAACAAAAGGTTTTATTGGCTACTATACACTAGCTGGTGAGGCAGAAAATGTCACAAAAAATGAAATCTCAAGATGCAAAAGAAAAAAAATGGACGCCATTCAATCAATTTAAAGATCTTGAATTTGAAATATAGAAAGTAACTTTATCAGACATTGAATCAGAATGGAAAAGTGGATGTTGCAATTGTTCAAACTTTTTAAAGAATGTATTTGCAAACATGTCATGGATATGGCAATTATATTGAAAATTTTCAAACAATCTCCAGCAGTAAAGGATGTATCTTTGGGTGAAAAAAGAAAATGAGGACGACCACGAAAAGCAAGATAAGCTTTATTAATCGAATAACTATTCAATTAAAGTTTTTATTTATACATTTTTGTGCTTTTACTTAACAAAAATTATATGTTTATCTGTCAATTCCTAATATTTTGTCTAGAAAATTAAACTTTTCCATTGAGAATTTAATTAAAATACTTAGCAAAAATTCATTTTTTACTCAAATTTATCTTTAATAAATTACTTAAAAAAAATGAAATTTTTTACTTAGTTTTTATGTAAAATTACTTAGCACTTAAATAGGTGCCTTAATGAAACAGAATGGAATTTTAAAAAGGATAGCCGCTAAATATACGAATTTTTAGAAAGTCTTTCTACTGAATGCTACACACAGGTTGTTTGAGAGTTGTATTGAGGGCTACGTAGTAACTACATTTACGAATGAGAACTCATAGCTATTTGAAAACATTCTTGAATCAGTAAATTCTCATAACATCTTCGATCAATAATCTAGTAAAATTGTGTGAGAGAAGACAAAAGACAATCTGTTTTCTATGTGCACATAACAGCAATAGTATATCAAATACAAGCAGAGATGTATAACTGCAGACTTTATTGAGTGCAAGTTCGATTTTCGAAAAATATTATTTGAAAAAATAAGTCTATAGCTCTACAATACGTTAAATACATGTCACA